TCCATTCTAGTACCAACCATACCCCAGATGATCTGCGAGCTTTGATACCAGATTGATGGAAACCTATGATCTTAACTAAATCACCACGCCAATCACACCAACAACCGTATCTCAACACAATATTATACTCGTAAAAAATGTAACAAAGCAATAACAATCCAGCAAACAATATATCAAGACAGTAAAGTTTATATATTTAGACTTAATAAGAATTGGAAAAGATAACAATTAGTTTTAGGAATAAAACAGTATCACCCAACTAGTCTTCGAGGGCCAACACCTCCCATACTCAATTCATGCACAAAAACAAAGATGTCCTCTACCCCTGCTACCACTGCCCTTTATTCTGACACCAGGATTCTAATAACTAACAAGACACCTGTCCCCACTTGTTTTACCCCTTTTGCCCCTTTCTCCCCTTCCCTGTCTTACGTTAATACCATTTGGATATATCAGGTCCATCAATGTAATAAAAGATAATGAATACATATCTTTCCAATAAACCTAGTAGAAAGATGCAATAATTCAAATAACCCAAAAATAAAAACCAACGCGCAAAGAAAAGGCTAGATTTGTTATAAAAAATAAAAATCATTGCATAAAGATCTAATAATTTTTCTAGTGTTCGTGTTTGTTTTAAACTTTTAGTGTTGTTTGTTTAGGTTTAAGAAGAAGATGAATCGTCTATTACATCCTTTATTTTCTTTCTCTTGGTCGAAGGTTTATGGCCATGAGAAAGAATCCAAGCCAAATAGTTCATCAGTTATTGGGCTACTTGAATTCTGGCCTATGGGCTTTTGAATATCAAAATTAAGATGAAATAAACAATCAAATAAAAATGATACACTAACATTCAATTTTATTACTTAATAAAAATATTTATATTAATAAAAATATTAAAAATTAAGTAATAATAGACGGTTTATAAGGACGTGTCAAAAAATTAAGTAAAAAATTTAAGTTACATTATCCTGACCCAATAAATAACTATTTTCATACTATAAAGAAAAACATTTATTATCATTTGAATAATATTATAATTTTAAATATAAAATTAAATTAAATATACAAAAATTAATTGAAAAATATTTACTAATATTATTTTTAAATCCATAAATTATTTAAGAAAATATAAAATAATATCCATAAATTTTAATTATTAATTTGCTTAATAGTATAAAAAGAGGAAAATAAATAAATAAAGTTGCTCCCACTCGGGATAAGGAGTCCCACGCCTCTCCACGAGATTCCTTATCCCTATCTTTTGGGATTAATAGGACGGGCTTGGGATACATGTTATACAATTCCAATATGTCAAAAACTAGCAACAAACAAAGGATTGGACTGAACTTATCACTGAATTTTATGCATTTAATTTCTCTGTTGGTGAATTTTTGCATTAGAAAATGATGATTCTTAATCTGATTTACTTTAATTTAAAAATTAATTAATTAATTTCTCTCTCTCTCTCTCTCTCTCTCTCTCTTTTTTTTTTTTTTATCTCTATGTTAATAAATTTTTGACATATTTCTCTTTGTTTAATTGTTTAATTGCTGCATAAATGTTTTATAATCAAACTGTCACAACTTTTTATTTGTTTTACTTCATATAAATTGCAATACCCTATTGTAATAGTTCCATGATATCAAGAGGTTAGTTGAGATGTATGTAAGTTGATCCAAACATGCATAATCCTTTAAAAAAAAAAAAAAAAAAAAAAGACCCCCACAACATCTGACAACAAAAAATTATTGCCACACATCAACTTATGAACTCTTCAATCTTTTGGTTTCGGTGGTTCATCATCAGCTGAAAAATATATTAGATCTTCGTCTTGTGGCCCATCACAGTCAACATTTGTTGTTGATCCGAGAAAATCTTCATCCAACTCATATGAATTCCAAAAACTAAAGCTACCGGATTTCTTGGCCCTTGGCTTCAACTCTTCAATATCTTTCTCATATATTGGATGTATCCCACACTTCTTCACCTTCAATCTTGGATCACGTGTGATGGGAATACAAAATGTCATATTTAACCCCCTTAATGTTTAGTCTTTTATATGTATTTGTTTCCTAATTGTACTCATTATTACTTTATTTTGGTTTAGGAAGCAAATGGAGGTGTTAATTGAAAAACGGAATTAATTAGGGGAATTCGGAAGTTTCACCAGCTGCTTCGTATTCTGGGCATAATTCTCTCATCCGAGCTCCATTGAGATGATTCAAAGTGCTGTGGAACGCTAAGAAATAGATCTACAACTTTCATGTTTTGAGTTTTTAGAGATACTGACTGAATCAAGGTTGTAATTGAGCTTGAATTTGACGCACCTGCATTACCCGTCCTGGAGCGTTCTGACTTGTTATGCAAGTCAGTCTATTATTGCACGTTTTGAAGACATACTGCTGCACAAAATTACAGCTGAAACATCACTTCCTATTTATTAGACTTATTTTATTTTATTCCAATTAGATTAAATTAGGTTAATGTTATTTTAGGATAGGAGAATATTTCTTTTAGGAGATTGAGTGGGATTTGAATTCTTAAATTAGTTTTTAAAGGGAGATCAGAGGAGGTTTTGGGGGACCACGCCTCTCTCTCTTCTCTTCTCTGAAATTTTCTTTCACTTGAGTTTTTGTGATGGCCATGAGCGGCTAGAACTTTTGTAACTTGGTCGAAGGAAACGGAAACCTCGGAATCAAATAAACTGTGGATCTTTCTGTTTTAGTGTTAAATTCATGTTTGAGTATTGATTTTATTCTGTGCATATTTTCATGATTGATGCATTTAATTACTAGGAGGCCTACTAGTGTATTATTTGTTGAAATCTACTGCTAAGTTTGATATCAAATCCGTAATTGTTTGATCCCTCCAACTGTGAAGCAACTAGGGTAAGTTTTGCTGCGTCAGGAATTAGTAACCTTACGAAGAACATTCAACTAAATTAAATACAACCGCTTGTTTGTTTGTGTGTTTTAGTCTTCGTCATCTCTCTATTCTTAAGGCTGCCACTAGATTAAATCTTGACGCTTGTCTAGGGTTGTTTAGGGGTAAGATTAATTGATCGCTTGTTTCCTGATTAATTACAATTAAGGAGAGATAGGAAATTATTTTCAACGGTGAATTCAATATGTGAATTGATTCTTTGCATCAATGATCAGTTATAAGATTCTGATGGTGGATGTTGATAGAGACCAAGTTTCGTTATATATTTTGAATTCGAATTAAATTGTTTTTTTTGTTTTTGCAGAGATTGTTTTCTGTTTACACAAAACCCCCCAGCTTTATTCACATAACTCAAATTCGGCTAGATACTCTTCGTGGGATCGACCCTGACTTACACTACTACGTTTATTTTTGTTTTAATTCTGGGTGCCTACGACAGCACGCCAACGTGGTATAAATAAAGCTCAACAAAATCTTGATTGAGTCTTTCAGCCAAAGCATAGAACAGCCAAAGATGGTCTGACAAGCCTTGCCTGAATTCTCTTCAAAACCAATCTTAGACTCTCAAATAGATGGATATTGGTCACCATGGCAAGAAATCCCATGAATAGGCTGGTGCTCATGGACATCAAAAACACAGCAGATAGCATATCCCACCACCTTGTTATCATAAGAATCTGAAGGCCTTTCTATTTGAATAAAGAAGTCTCACTCTGATGTTGAACCACTCTGGAATCTCACTTCCAGGAATAACCATCCCAAAATCATCAATCCCATTTCTGTATGTTGGCTTTGACATTGCCCACTCAGAAAAGAAAGAAAATTTATAAAATAATGTCTAACTCAAAGATGAAGAAGAGAAAGAGAAAGACACTGACCTTAAGGAACTCTCTGGGCATTGAAGATGCCAAATTGTTGCAGTAGATCATTTCAAGCATTTACACATGAAAATTCTGACAACGTGGAATTGCATAACCTTAATGCATTTGATGTTGTTTCCAGTGCAACACAACCATTTACATAAATATATCTTATGTTGGAAGAAGTTCTGGTAGAGATCTAAGTCTCTTACAACCATTCAAGCTAAGCTCTTTAAGCTCCAAAAGATGTTTGATTCTTCCAGGTAGTGAAACAAAATTTGTTTTTGCTTAGTTCTAATTTCCGTAATGAAGAAAAGCTTTAAAAAAGTCATTAGGAATTGCTCCTTCCTCCTATTGCAATCATAAGAATATATTTTTTTAAAGATCTGCAAAACTTGACAATTGGCAATCTAAAAGTCTTCAAGAAAAGTGAAGACAACGAGTTTGATGTTGGTCCTTTGCACCCACTAAAATCTAACTCTCAAGATTCTTCATAAGAAAATGGACGCCATTGGTCATCTTATCGCAGATCCAATTACATCAAGTGTCCTTAGCTTTTCAACTTGCCCCAAAGTCTCTGGCAAGTTATCAATTTTGAGCATCCAGAAAGATTAAATCTTCGAAGAGATTCCAAACCATTTATAGTGACGGGAAGACTCACAAGATTTTTGCAGTTTTCCAACTAAAATCTTCAAGTCCACTCAAAAGTTCAATTGACATTGGCAGTACTTTAATAGCAGTTTCCTTTAAATAAATGACATGTAGACATCCAAACTTCCTACAATCTCTGGAAACTTCTTCAATTTGTAGCACCAGATAGATTAAGTCTACGTAGAGATTCCATATGAATCTGGTTAGGCAGGTTGTAAGACTTGTACATTTCATCATATACAAATAATAATCTTTTTGTGAACCAACAAAGATGGGTGAATCTCACGCAACATTGTACAACTTTGAGATTCACATTCTCGAGATTCGGGGCAAATGTGAAATCTGGTGTCTTGATTAGGTACCTACAGTTTTCAAAACTGATAGATTTCAAATTGTTGAAAACTGTTAAAAGAAAAAAAAAAAAAAAAAAAGTTAGACAAAGATGTGGTTTTCTTAATTTCCCATATTTATTAAACATAAAAAGCATAAAAATATTCCATATATAGTTATTTTACTCATAAAAATTAAAGTAGGAAAGTGTAATTGAATTAATCTTACTTTTATTCTCTGCTGCAATTGTTCAATGCGGCTCTGATCCATTTTCAGCTCAATAATTTTGTCCAATTGCAAATTTGGTGGTAAGGATTTTAAAGGATATCCTTCCCAATCAAGTAAACGTAAGTTGTTGAAAAGATAATCAAGGCCTTCTGGAAGTTGAACATTGTGGATCTTGAGTAATCTTAGATTGATCATTTTCGAAAATGCTTTAGCACAACAATGGATATTTTCTTTAGAAGAGTTGAACATTATGCTTTCAACCACTTTAGTTCCCTTGAAATAAAAGAAAAAATAAAATAAAACAAGAGATAGAGAAAGCAAGCTAAGAATTAATAACACATGAATGAAACTATATAGACATGAGTGCTAGCTGCTTCAACATATAAGTCTGCTATTAACATTTTAACATAAAACTATGTACAAAATAACGCTTAATTGGGTTGCACAAAAATTCTTACAAGATAACACGTGTTATTTTTATGAAAATTGTTCCTCATTGAATGCACTTAATCTTACATATGATTACACTTATTTTTACTAAAGGAATTATTATTTTGTAAATTTTATAAATTTTCATGATTTTTTGTAGAAAAATATCTTTATAAAAAAAAAATCATTTCTAAATTTTACTAGTAAGATAAATAACTCTTTTTAAGTTTTCAAATAATTTTTTATTTGATTTTTAAAATTGTTAAAATTATAGGTTTTTTATATTTTTTTAATTTAAATATATGTTTCCGTCATTTTCACAAAAATCTAATTGAAGTTTTTTTAGTTAACATATTTAGAAATTTGTTTTCATAAAATGATACAAAAACCAATCATGAATCTTTAGAATATGTATTTTACTATTTTTTTTCCTATTCTTCTTCAAAATAATAAAAAAATAATTATCAATTTTTTTTTTTAATTATAGATCGTACTATTCTCATTAAATGTATAAATGTTTTCTTTCATGATGTGTATGCTCATGCATATTGTAGGTATCTAAACTAAGGAGAAATAAAATTAACTAGAAACAAAACGATAATTTTGGAAATAAAAGTTCTTTTGAGGAACAAGAGACTTTAATATGCTCAACTGGACTATAAATTGGTCAACAAATACAGAAAAAAAAAAAAATTACAGATGCATGTGTAATCTGGAGAGGCTAATTATGTGCTAATTGTGCTAACAATGCACTAGCTCACTCCTCATATAGATATTTAATTAGTTAAAGCAAATGATGATTGAAAAGGTGCACATGATTATAAAAAAAATTGAATTGCTTACTGTGTTTCTGTCAATACATGATGAATGTCTGCTTTCATCCACAATCTACTGCATTTTCCAGGCTCTTCGGGACACTCTCTCTTAACAATTTGTTGACCCATTTGTTGTAACAAATCATGCATCCACAATGTATTGTCATGTAAAATAATTATGAGCGATTTATCGATTAGAATATCTATTCCAATATTTGGAAAAAAACCACAACTTTCAAGAATTCTTGTCACATAATATCTATCCATTCCTTTAAAGAAACATGCTATATCAAGAAATATGTTTTTCTCTAATTCTTCTAGCCCATCAAAGCTTATTTGAAGTACATCTAGTATTTCTTTCTTACAATCTCTTTTTAGTCTTTGCAATGCATCTTCCCATATATGAACTTCTCTTCCATACAAAAAGTAGCCCAAAACTTTAAGAGCTAATGGAAGACCACTAGCATACAGTACAACACATTTGGATAGCTCTCTAAAACTTTCTAAATATTGATGTTTCTTAAAGGCTTTTGAAATGAATAATTGGCCGGCTTCAGTATGATTTAATTTCTCAACCTCATAAACTCCATCTACTCCATGGCACGTCAACAAACTTTTGGTTCTTGATGTTATTATGATCCTACTGCCCATTCCAAACCAATCACGCTTGCTAGCTAATTTTTCTAATTGCTCTGGATTGTTTACATCATCTATAACAATAAGAACCTTCTTACACGATAGCCTCCTTCTTATCATGCTTGTTCCATCAAAGACATTGTATATGTTGATGTCATCTTTTCCCATACCCAGAATTTGTGAGAGAAGCATCTTTTGCAAAGAAACTAGACCATCTTTTTAAAAAATTTCTGTAACATTAGCCAAAAAACTACTACCTTCAAATTTATCAGAAAAAAAGTTATAGACAACTCTAGCAATTGTTGTCTTACCTATTCCTCCCATGCCACAAATCCCAATCATACGAACATCGTGTGACTCAGGACTTATAAATTTCTTTAGTTCCTCCAATCGTGAATCTATGCCTACTAGGTTCTCGACACTTGTGTATTTTGAAAAACATAATTTGCTTGATATTTCCCTCACAATTTTTTGAATAAATTGTGACTCATACCTGAAGAATGGAAAAGATCAAGAAGAAATCGTGGTTACAACTTACAACACTAGCTAGTCATGAATATACTAATGTATAAATAGTGCCTATTATAGAAATTATCTACATGCACCTATAAGTTTATACACATGAAACTTTCATTTTTCCTTTTTGTTTAGCTTTACTTTTAGCATTCAGTCACTATTGTAGTTATATTGTCTCTATACTTTTTGTATGATATACTATCTGTCTTGGTTACAATAACAAGGAAAATTTAATAAAATTATTCATGCCTGTCTAAGAAAAACAGAAAAACCAAGTTATAAAGTACTGCCCTATGTCATTTTCCATCATTACTTGGTGAAATATGAAAATGCTTATTTTATTAATTATCTTTTACATTAATTAATTTATTATTAAATACTATTTGTATAACATAAGAATTTTGTTAATTAAATACTTCAATGTACCAATACTTTTAAATATCAATTCAATGCTTAATTTGTAGTATCAACACTCATGACTAACGCATTTAAACAATCAAGTCATGAATATCATTTTCATAATTCATTTGATAACTAAGCTTTCCACTATAAAAAAAAGAAGAGATAATTGTCACATACCCATCATTTAAGTCGAATCCAGAGTGATTGGCCACCTTTGTCAAAGCATTTCTCCAAGTTTGCACCTTTCTAGTATCTTCTCTAAAAGTTTCTTCATGTCTGACAAAGGCTTTTTCAAACTCTCCTTTTTGTTTTGTAGCCACGGAAGGATCCCCGTTATAAAAAACTGGAAAAAATTTTATATTCTTGCAACGAACAATTTGAACAAGTTCATCTAAACACCATGTGGAAGAAGCATATTGTCTTGAGAAAACAACAATCACAAATCTTGATTCTTTAATTGCATGATTGAGCTCTGGTGAAATGGGTTTTCCTTTCTCAAGTTCTTTGTCATCCCTAAAAACACGCAATCCTTTCTGATTGAAAGCAGTACACAAATGATCTATAAAGTTCTTCCTTGTGTCTTCACCTCTAAAGCTTAGAAAGACATCATATTTCCAACGATGCGAAGGAGATTTTGATGAAGAGGCTGTTTGCATGATGAGTTTACAAGTTTGTTTATATTGTATATGCAAACAATTTCATCCTCTATTAGAACCTGAAAAATTAATTGGAAAGGTAATCAATTTCTTGCGGACCATCTATATGTATTTTCTATTTCCAAAAAGAATAAAAAAAAAAGAAATTAAAAAAGAAACAAAAACAACAATAGATTTTCTTGGCATTAACCCAATCGTAAAACAAAACTACAACACAAAAATTACATTTTTATCCATGTTGTAAACTTAAACTACAAAAGGAACAGAAGAAGATAGCTACCTTCAGAAATGGAAATAGCAAACGTTAACCCTCTCTTAAACAACCTCAACGATGAACCAAGTCAAATCTTGCGACTCAACCGCCTACATCGTGAGTCGAAATCGCTTCAAAACCACTTGGGTCGCCGAAAAAACTCCGTGGCAACAACTCTAAACCTTGTTGCACAACAATTTTAACCAATCCAAAACTCGAAACTTGCCAATCCGTCACTATAAGTCAACACTCAAACATCACCGAAAATATGAATTTTCAATTTCCAGAAAAGAAAAAATAAGTTAAAAAAGAAACCACTAATTTATATCCTGTAAATCTAACATACATTATCAGCTAGCTTGTTTAAAATAAATATATAATGTTTCACTCTTAATTAAACTACACAAAAGTTAAAAATTTACGAAATCAAAGATTGTTCAGAAAATAAACTTACAGCACTATGAGGGTGTTACTGCAGTTATATGAAGGAAGTTTTTTCCGTTCGATTAGGTAATTGTTTCAAAGAAAGAACTGCTTCTGTCAAAATGTTTGATAAGGAGCTGATTTTTCTCCCTTCTTTACTCACTCTTGACAGAATACTGCGTTGTAAACTCTAGAGAAAATACCAGCAACCTCAACAGAAATTTGGTGGAAAGCCCTTTTCCTTTCTTGACTTTGACAAACAATTTGACGCCATACAACAACGTCTTTTTGGATTCACAAAATTTTCTCGGTTTTTTTCTCTTCTTAATTCTCACTCTCTTTAAAGAAAACTATAGAGGAAAGAGTAGAGTAGATACACCAAGCTCTCAAGAAGTCTACGGGGAAATTACACATAAACTATTTTCCCTCTTGAGTCTTTGAATTACCTTTTTACTTTTTCCTAAGCCAGCATGTGAGCACATATGATAGTCCCATATGCATGCTTTCATGCTTTTTTATTTTATTTAATAATTAAATGTTATATTGTTACTTTTATTCTCAATCCAATAAAGACATGCACGGTTCTCTATCCCTCCCTTGTCCCCATCAAAGACCGAGACTATCTCACGTCTTTTATAATAAACTTTTAGTTGTCAGTTTTCTTTTTATAATGAGTAATGCTACAGTTATCGACTGGTGCGTATCAATTTTGTGCACTTAATGACGTGGCACAATCCTGACCGTTTATTTATTATCAGTTAATATTAATCAATGGTTAGGATTTTACTACGTTATTCGGTGCACAAAATCGATACACACCAATCGGTAGCTGTAGCATTTTCCTTTTATAATTTCTTAAACAAGTCTTGTACAAGTTTTGAGTAATTTCTTCAAGGAATATGCCAAATGTCCTTTAAGTTTGAACTTATTAATAACTTGCCAAGGGAAGGACGCGTGTCTCTTGCTCTACTACTAATGTCCCTACCTTGACTCTAAATTTCTTCTACATGCTGTTTCCTTAAAGTTTCTTTTTGTACAAAAAGATGATCACTTCGAGGTTTTTTTAGACGTCCTTCAAGGTTAATATGTCATCATAAATTTCTTATTTCAAATAATTTCTCTATTTATATAGCCTATTATTGATTTTTACAAAAATATAAATAAATCATTTAATAATTATTATTATTATAAAGTTAATAATTCATTTATCAATATTATATTTTATTATATTATTGTGATAATAACAATGATGTATGATAATTTTTACAAAATCTATCATAAAATAACACTTTATCAATACCATGTAAAACTTTATCACATAAAATATTGTATCAAAAATCTGATAATCTAAAGAAATAAATAAATATGTAAATATTTATATATTATTCTATGCCTATTTAGCACTCACTCAGGCCTCTTGAACATTTTCTGAAATAATTCTAAGTTCACCACTCTTAATGGGTGTCATTCTTTAACCTACTCCATTCATTTGGGCTTTCTGGCCCAATAAAAAATTTATAATTATTATTAACAACAATTAAGAAAAATGGATATGGAATTGATAATTCTTACGAATTTGCCAATAAAAATTCCTATGTTTATGTCAATTTTATGCATAATTCCAACAATAAATTGTTTTGATTTAACAGTAAAGTAAGTTTATATACAGGTTTTGTGTTGATTTTATATACCAAAAATTATTTGATTGAAATAAAATAATGAATTTTATGTTAAGTTATGCATGTTAGTTTAACCATCATTGGGTAGTCTCGTGATAAAAAAGCAAATGATGATCTAATGTGGTCCTTCAAGTTCGAATTCCCTTGATATAAGAGGATCTAACATGGTTTCTTGAGTTTAAGTCTCTATGTCTCCAATAGAGTGGCTACTGGAACTCTTACCTCGTCGATAGTTCCAAGAACTCGAAAAATTAGTTAGGGCACTTGCAAACTAGCTCAAACATCCTAAGTCATACAAATAAATAAATAAATAAAAAAGGTGAAGTTATGCATGAAGTTATATGACTTTACAATCACATTTTACATTGAATTGCTTCATATATTAATTATTAAGCTTGACACTTGAGAGCTAATCTAAATAATATTCTAAAAATATATATACATAATTGTTTCATTTTTTTATAAATTTCATTTCAATAGGAATATTGCAGGTAATTAAAGAACAACAATTTATTTCCATTAATTTTTTATCATGTCAAGAGTGTTGACGTACAGGAAGATACCTTGAAAAGATGAATATTATGAAATGGACCACAAAAACATTGGAAAGAAGGAAAAATTTTTCAAATAGTTATTTTCATTAGAGTTTTAATATGATTAGGTAAAATAAAATGTTGATTATGTCTTTTCTTACCTTTATTGTAATTTATATTTTATATTTAATATTTTAGTCATATGTTTTATAAAACTAATTACTACCAAAAAAAAAAAAATTAGAATTATTGGACTTGTGGGCAAAAGTATAGTTATTATATTTAAAATTAATAAATTTTAAATATAATTATCCATTATAATTAAGTTATCCAGCATATTACATTATTATGACCGCTCCCTTTTTACCCTTGTATTATTTGTCAAAGTACCTTTTTATCCTTTTTATTTTATTTAAAAAAAGGCAAAAATTAGGGAAAAAATTAAGCTTAAGAAACACAAAGCATCTACAATTTTCTAATTAAAATTACTACAATTTTGAATTTAAAAAAAAAGATGAATAATGTACATTCAAATTTTTATATTCGGAAATTTATATTGCAATTACTTGAATATCTTTTCATCGATATTTCGTTAGTTATGTGTAGACGTAAAAATCTACCTGTACGAAAAAGGGGGTCTGATCCCGTGAGGTCAAGGCCATTAGCGATCTGCTGCACCTGCACACGTAGAGAAACACACGCGTGAAGCGAACGGGAAACATCGGGGTGGTGTTTGCCGTAGGCACTTCGACGCTCAAGTCAGCAAGGCTGAAATGGGCTAATTTAGTGAGGGCTAAAGAATAAGGGATTACCGGAAGTCTAGTCGGGGACTGTGACTATGGCGAATTAGTGAAACTCTCGAGTGAAGAGTCTCGAGTGTGAGGGTGTAATGTCCATGTCCTTTGTGAGAGGGCAGGCCTCTGCTTATATAGTGGTCGTCTGGTCTCCCAATCCTGGTGGGATCAGGAGTCCTCATCTGACTCTGACGTAAACCCTAGAAGAATTAGGGTCGTGGTGAGTTGTCTTACCTGTATCCAAATAGGAAGGTTACTCTGTTTAAGAGAATTCGCTAAGTAGGAAAGTGGTCAAAATTAGGAAGGCGTCCTTGAATTAGAGGTTGATTAGGAATAGGAAAGTACTACGTCAGGGCTGTGGCTCTGGATTCGTCCGTGGACCTAGGACATGGGCTAGGTTTGAGAGGCTTGTGCCGCTTGACTTGGGCCGTTTTGGACTTCATTTTTAGAAGGAACTAACATGGCTTTGGGCCTTTGCAGGACTGGCCTGGTCTATCTTCACTAATGGTCCTATTTCCCTATTTGGGCCAAGGACGATTTTTGGCCCAACTTTGTCCCCACTCTCTGAGTTGAGTATCTCAAGTTAGAGAGTAGGTCGTGTTCAAGGCGAGCTCGTTCTTTCCCCATGGCGAGCGATCATTGGAGAGTTGACCGACGCAAACGATTTGATTGGGTCTTGGTCTATCCTTCCCGAACGAGCATGCCGCCACGAGTTGTGCCTGATCGGCTCGTGGGCCGAAGAGCTGATAGCCATCGGGTCGCTCGTATGTTGGCGCGATTATCGCGGAAACACGCAAGGGGCGGTTATTCGTCCTGCCAGGTCGGCGAAGCTCAGGAAGCTTACGGAGATCCATTCGGTTGGTCTGTGGGATACCAGATAGGTGGGGAGAACGACATGTGCACCTCGTTCGCCTCGGATGGGCGAATGGAAGAGTTTACGGCTTCCTGAAGATTTTAACTCGGGCTACGCCGAGCTCGTGCATAGATCGTTCGGGCCTTCTGGGTCGGTTGATTGTGAACGTCTGAGAAGGCTCACCTGAGAAGCTCAGTCGGTAGGTCGGGTCGAACGACCTAGTACATTGTTGGGGCGATTATCGGATGCGTGTTAGAACATGTCTGGATGTTAAGGCTGAGTCGACCAGGAGGGTCGGTCGACCGAGATGAGGAATTCGTACAGGTCCACGATTTCCCAGGTGATTAGATTGCTACCACGTGTATGGTGGTGATTTTTCCGTCGTTTCGAGAGCGGGAAAACGAAAAGACTCCTGACACTTAGCCAATCACAACCTGCCATGTGTCCACGCTTTCTTTACAAATTTGGAGTTCATCTGTTCGTCTTCCATTTGCGTTTGGCTTTGGTTTTTCGTCTGAAAATTTTTTCTGTTTTTCTTCGTTTTTTGTCCCTTTTTTTGAGCGAAGGTGGTCTTCTACAATCATCCAAGGTAATTCTTCTTTTTGCGTCGTTTTGTTGTTCTTTGATAGATTTTCTTTTTCTGATAGAATCTCTGAAAGAAAACAAGGAGGTTTTGAGTTTTTGGGTGGGTTTAAACTGGGTTTCCAGCGTTTTTGGTGTTAGATTTTGGTGAATTTTCTGGGTTTGAGTTTTCCGGTGAATTTCCGGGAAGAATTGGTTGTAGGTGAATTTTCTGAGTTTTTGGGTTTAGGCCTCGAAGACGAAGTCTTTTTGGCGTGGTTTGGGTCGGTCGTTCGTCTGACCGAGTGGCGAGGAGTGCGATTAGGGGATCGGTCGCTCAGGGTGAGTGATAGTGATCAAGGATAACGGACGGCTGGGTTTGAAGTTCGGGGTGGATCGTTCGTCCGGGCGAACGATTGGTGTTGAACTTGGCGTGTTCGTTCGGTTGGAGAGTCGACTCAGAGTGGGGACTCGTTTGTGGCGAAGGCTCGACTGGCAAATCGCCCTTTCGGTCGGTCGGCTAGGTGGGGCGACTGGTTTCCACTTCGTTTGAACAGGCGACTGGGCTGAGAGGTCGGTTTTGAGGGTACCGTTCAGCGTTGAAGGGCGATCCGTAGTTTACACTTTGATTTTCCTTAAGGAGTCGTCGCGTTGGAGCGGTCGAGTGATCCGATGTCGGGTGATACTTCCGCGAGTTCGGTCACGAGGTGGACGTGGGGACGAGTATGAGCGTGCCCCCACTAGTGGTAAGGCCTGAAGGGGAGGTTCCGGTCGGTGTGTCACCGGAGTTAGTGTGGCTGCTCCAGGGTCGTAGAGCTGGGCCGAGTGCTCGGGTCGGTATGGTAGGAGTGGGGAAGACTCCGGAGTTGACAGTCCCTCTACGTCCGGTAGTAGCTCTGGGAGGACCGAGCCGCAGGCAGTGGGATTCTGACCAGGCTACCGCCCGTGCTGAGGGATATGCGTGTGGCGCCTCCGTACCCTGTATCATATCCCTGGTTCTGTTAAGGTTCGGAC